GCGTTTGGCGATCTTTGGTACGAAGCGGGAGCTAACAAACGATTCGGTTGATGATTGCCGGGGAAGGGAAAACGGTAAAAATAAAATTGCTGAAGGATGGCAAAAGATATTATCGTTTATTGCAATGGCAAAGTACCTCAATGTTTTACCGGAGAATATGTACAAGCTATCCTGCAAGTTCACGACTAAGGCTGAAGAAAGGGTGGCGGCCCGTGGCTTGGGGGGATGAGATGGAAACTCGCTCAAATGTGCGCAGGTTCCCAGCCTCTGAGACGGGGTGTTCCCTTCTTGCGCTGCTGCCTCTCTACCAACCTACCTACCTACCAGCCAACACTTTACCTTCCAGAACCCATAGCACGCTTGCCGCTGCTGTGTCGGTGTAGGGAAGAGGTCGGTAGCTGGCTGTCTGTGTACGGATACAACAAAGACACCCGACCGTAGCGAAAATAAACCAAACGGGGGAAGCACGCCTGGCGTGCTGGCGCTAAGGTGAGATAGCTTGTCCTCGTGAGACTCGAGAGGGACTGTTAAGAGAGACTTGAAGAGGCGGGATGCTGGCTGGGTAAGGCCTGTAAGAGACCGTCGCGGCGGCTAAGGCGTTGACTCGTCCGAAATGTCTTTTTTCTTCTTCTTGCCATCCTGCACACGCCCGGACCTCTACCGCGCAGAATGCTGACTTGGGAAGGCAGAGCATGCAGCCTGGTAGTATGGTGATGCACTGATGCTGCGAGACGCATTGTACTGTAAGATCGACAACCCGTGAGGCGGGTAAGTGGGCGCTGGACGAGACGGGTAGGGCGGGGCGGATGGTCCCCTCCCTCCCCCGATTGCACTCTCAGACGTGCCAGGCGTCACATGGGACTGGCCAGGTGGCTTACCAGTGACATTCTGATGTTCTCTCTCGTTGGAAATCGCACCTGGGTTACACAATGGAGTCCTAGAAGCCTGGGACATGTTGGTAATATGGCGGGGTTGTTTCTAGTGAGAGGGGTCGCAGGCCATTGTCGCCGCTCGCTCTCGGTTGCTCGGAGTCTTCATTCTATGACCTACCTTAGGTACTGATACTATTACCAACTGCCCTATCTACGGCTAAGTCTACCGGTGAACCAGCATCTCAAAGCTTGCAAAGGACTAACTACATGGAGTGATTCCGAACGTCAACGTTGGAGTTTGTCAGCGATGAAGATGACTGGATATTCATTTCAGACCTCTCTGTAACTGTATGGAGGCTTCTTTCAGTACTTTCTTAGATTGTCGGTTTTGACATTACCCGCCACTGTGAGCGGCCCGTAACTCTCTCCAGTGGCTCCGCCGATGTGCCGACGGGCCCGTCCGGAACGAGAGCTCTGGCGGCTGATAAATGCAGCCTCATCAATGAGTTGTAATAGTCATCCAAAGCCTAAATATCTCATTCGCCACGGAGGAGAAGGAGGGGAGGAGGATCCAACTTATCTACGCCATCTCATAGCCTTACCACTCGATTCCAACTTCATCTTCAGCTTCAACATTAGCAACAACTCACAATAATTGAATCATTGACGACGGAGTTTTACAAAGAAGAGTTTTCATTAAAACACGAAACAAGCTCAAGTGACTCACGACACGACAAGCAACCATCATGCTTGGACCCCCTGTCAACCTGCCCAAGTGGTGAGTTCCCGACCTAACCTATGCCACCTAGCCTTGTTTAGCATGCGATTATGAGGCTATTCGCAATGGAGCTCATTTGATATTAACGTCTCTCACGCAACTAGGCTAGAGGAAAACTCCCACCTTCTCAAGCCCCCCATCAACAACTACTGCGTCTACAATGAGGACTTCGCCGTCATGGTAAGCACCCCCACAAACTCAGCTCATCCCCGAGTCTGACGTCGTGCCTTAGATCGTCGGCGGCCCAAACGCCCGAACAGATTACCACATCAACCAAACACCCGAATGGTTCTACCAGTACAAGGGCGCCATGATGCTCAAGGTAGTCGACGAGGGCGTCTTCAAGGACGTCATCATCCGCGAGGGCGACATGTTTTTGCTGCCCGGCAACACCCCGCACAACCCCGTCCGCTTCGCCGACACGGTCGGCGTCGTGCTCGAGCAGCGACGGCCCGAAGGGTCGCTCGACCGCATGCGCTGGTACTGCGAGACCGAGTCCTGCCGCGACGTCGTCCACGAAGCGGCCTTCCACTGCACCGATCTTGGGACGCAGATCAAGGCTGCTGTTGAGGCGTTCAAGGCCGACGAAGGGGCGAGGACGTGTAAGAAATGTGGTGTTGTTGCTGAGGCGGCGCCGAAGCCTGGGTCGATTAAGGATCCTAACTTGGAGTGAAGTGGCCTGCGATACCTTTCGATGAATGAAAGAGAGTCAGTGAGAAAGAGAGGGGGGGGGGGGGCATTTTGTTTCTGAGGCATGGTGTGTGATCTTTCAGGTTTGGGTATTTGTTGTAGGCGAAGGCGAGCAGACGGTCTATATGATTTAAAAGTACATGTGATCATGATGATCCAGCCTGAGACTTTCACAACTCGGCCCTTTCTTTTTATGAGACCCAACATGACTTTCCCGTAAAATATTGCAGATAAATCGCTCAAATCCTCCTCTTTGTGTGTGCCCACCTCCCAAAGTTCATCATCAAACCAACACTTACGTCTCAGCAAACTCGTACGAGCTAGGAGACTCCTCAACGGCAACCTCAATCTTGGCCTCGGCCAGCTCCTTGCCGCCGACACGAAGACCGGCGCGGATCACGTCACCGGGCACGGCCGGGCCGACGCCGGCAGGGGTTCCGGTCAAAACGATGTCGCCGGCCTCGAGGGTCATGACCTTGGAGATGTCGCTCAGGATGCGGGGGATCTGGAAGAGCATGAGGTTGGTGGAGCCTTCCTGCTTGACGACGTCGTTGACCTTGAGGAAGAGCTCAATGTCGTGGGGGTCGGGGATGGCGGATTTCTTGATGATGTCACTCATGGGCAAAAAGGTGTCGAAGCCCTTGGCGATGGACCAGGGGAGACCCTTCTTCTTGGCCTCGTTTTGGTTGTTGCGTGCCGTCATGTCGATGGCGAGGGCATAGGCTGTCTTGGGTGTCAGTGGTTGTGAGGTTAGGAAGGGGGACGATGTCCCCCGAGTGAGTGAGACGAACCCTCAATGGCGTCGATGGCGCCCTTGTGGTCATCAGCCTTGAGATCCTTGACCTGCTTGCCGAGGATGAGAGCAAGCTCGACCTCATAGTGCATGTCGACGCCCTTGGGTCTCAGCACTGGGCCACCTCCAGGAAGGAGGATAGAGGAGGTGGGCTTGAGGAAGAAGAAGGGCTGCTTGGGGCGGGTGTTGTTGAGCTCCTTGACGTGATCGCTATGATTTGGTAGTTAGTCCTCTCGTCTCCCCTCTGCGCCTGCATCTCATGTTTGTGAGAGTCGAGGGGTAGTTGACGAATCACTCACGCATAGTTGCGGCCAATGCACATAACCTTACCGGCCCTCTTCAAGGAGGCGGCGGTAGCCATTGAGCGTCTGAAAACCATGGACATCTTGACGATTGTATTTTGCGTCTCTTCGAGTTACAATTCTTGGAAGTGTCAAGGTCTGTTGATTTATGAGAACACGTGAAGTTGATAACGGGCTTCGGAAACGATGCCGAAGCGATGCCGGAGACAGTGTCGGATTCTCCGAATAACCGGGGAACGCAGGCCTGGGAGACTCGAGGACGCTTAGTCAGATTCTACAAAGGTTGGAAAGTTGGGTGCGTCGGGAGACCTGCCGGCACTAGGCACGGAGGCTTGCCAATCTGGTCAAGGCGATTCGGAGGATGGATGCGTCAATCGGCGGCAACCATTGAAGCTTGCATAAGAGGAGGGGGAGCTCGCAACGACCGGTGCAGAAAGCAGTCCAATGCAGGCGAGATCTGGCACTCTGGGAACTGACTGGATTGGATTGATGCTGGCCTCGATTGGACGGGATCGACTTGAAGCTTCGGGGGAGACACTTCCCGCCCAACCGGTCGGGGCGAGCAGGCGACAGATGTTCCAGCAGTCGCATGAGTGGCCAGAAGACAGCGGGGACAAGGAAGGGCCTGGGGTTGCTCAATGTGGCTGAAATGGCCCAGTGTGGGGGAAGGTGCCCTGTGTCTCTCACCCCGCTTCCTTCCTTCCCTCCAGCTCGGTTTCGTGGATTTGATCATCGACTTGGACGAAAGTCAAGGTACCTAACCTGGCTTGCTTGGGAAGACAGAGTTGAAAGTGACAGACCACTGCACCGGATCTGATGGATGGCCAAGGAAAGGCCCAATAAGGACACTTTTCTGCTACCATCTGCCACTTGGAACTGTCCCTTTACCTTGTCTCCGGCGGGGTAGACGTTGATGTCTTTGATCTTTCCCCATATCCCCGTACCTTACTCTATACGTATCGTCACTACGTACCCCATGCCATAGGGCACACCTCACACCTCATATTTCGAGGTGGCATTCGTCCTACATCAAGTCACCTTCCACACGCAGCCTGATCACCGCTACCAAATTTGTTTATCAACATCACTACGCGGTGAATACCCTTTTCCTATTCATCATCACACCTTAGCAAAAACAATACACACGCAAACACACAACAGCGCAGCCCTTAACACTAGCTCACGCACCCTCCGCTCTGTCCCTTCTCCCCCCACCTCTGACATCTCTCACAGACCCGACACAAAGAGCCTTACTGTCAGGCACTTGTGGCCAGTGGTACCTGGCCTTAAAAGTCAAAAAGTCTCCTTACCTAGCCTTGGCCTGGAATGACGGCGTTGGTGGGTTCTACCTTATGCCCCATGCTATGATGCTCCATGTCCATTCCCTGCCCAGATCCACCCACTTTCACTCTTCTCTCGGCCAAATTCGCTGCTAACTGCCTGCATCCACTTCTAGCCCGTTAATCAACACTGCATTGTTAATTGACAGCATTCTCCATTCTACGCACTACACGACACGAGACCACCAACAACGAGAATCCGCACACCCAGCACCAAAAGTCGCCATGGAGAGCCTCCAGCTGGCGCAGATGCTTGCCGACCTGAGCAGCCTCAATGCAGCCGTTTGTTTCCCTCATTCCCTACTCTCTACTATCGTCGACTCTCGTCCCGGTCGCATTCTCTGACTCGCCCATGTAAATCCCCCTGCGATGCGATGCGCTGGGCGCTTCGGCGGCTGCAGGGGCTCATGGGAAGGAAGGAAGGAGATCCTCAATAAACTTTTCCTCAACTAGCCCATTCGCCCTATCTACAGAAGTGCTAATGACCTCATTCCAACACAGGAACCCAACGCAGCAGCCGCTCTCGTCACCGCAAACAAAGCCATCCAGACGGTTGAGAAGACCAACGCCAACCCCGCCGCCCCCGGACTGCCCAGGCGGCCCACCGATGAACTCCGCCGCGTTCACACGCACAGTTCCCAGACCTCGCGGACAGGTACAGGCACCGCTTCGCCCGCCCGCGTCGACAAGTTTGGCCGTCGCATCATGATGAGCCCGCCCGCCTTGTCGCGCTCCAACTCAGCGCAGGGCTCCATCCCAGGCACGCCCAAGAGGGACTCAGATGTACGAAGCACTACCACCACCACTTTACAGCACCAACCACAACCACTTGGAACGGGACAGAGAGCTTACGTGATGGGTGCTGAACAGGCCGAAGACGATATGGACCGCGCGTCGACCCTGATGGCGCTGTACGAGATCCGCGCGAAGCTCAAGCAGCAGGACAATAGCAGCCTCATGAAGGCCCGAGAGAAGATCGCCGACCTCGCGGCGCGGCAGCAGCAGCAGCAGACGACGGCGACGCCTGGCAAGAAGGAGCCCGAGAAGATCACGTCCCGGTTCACATTCCCGAAATAAGCGAGGGGTTTCTTTCCAAGTACACGCATACCTTTTTCAACATAAGCGGCGGTACGGCGTTTGGGGAGTGTGGACTCGATCTGGTTTCATTTTCGACAAAGTACGGCATGATGGGATACTAAAAGTCACGACGAATCGGTGTTTACGGGTCACGAGAGGTTCTCAGTTGGTTGCTGAGTATACGTTTTGCGTTTATCATTGTTTTTTGGGGGGCCAGCAGCGGTCACTTGGGGAGTAAGCCATGGGGTTACGACGCATTTTTGTTCCTCGTCCTTCATCTGGCTATTGAAGGACTGGGGAAAGGGTCAGGGATCATACGGGGAATGCGTGGGATCCAGGACCGAGTCCGGAGGCAAATCCGGGGTTCCGTTTATTCGTCGACCGGTTGTGTTTCACAGCGTTTGCTGGAATCATGCCCTCACTTAGGGACCAGCGCTGGGTGGTCCGTATGTCCGTAGGGAGACTACACTTTTTTGATGTCAAGAGCATAGCCTCAAATCTCAACAAACCTTTCCTGAAGTTTTGGCGAGTGAAGACATGTCCAAAGACAACCATGGCATTGCAGCATTCCCTAACGGACAGTTGATCGCCAAGGCAGGGGTTTTGTTGCCGGGAGTGTCGCGGAAACTTTCAGGTGACGGAGCGGAGGAAGGGGTTTGAGACCGTCCCAAGTGCGCGGCAGCCTGCCCGACATATACCGAGAAAGAGTTGTGCCCAGATGTTTTGGAAACAGTCTTGGCGATGAGCAGCGGAGTGCAGTCGATCGAGCCCCGGGTCGAGTTGCTGTGCAAGATATTGGGACTACGCAGTGAGGCATTCTACATGGCAGGATGGACCGTTGGTTCTTTGCCGGCTGGTCTGTCTTGTTCGGAGGGGTTACAATGTGTTCCTTGGCTTATTCGGAATCCTTCCAAGCCCTCATTTTTAGTCGACTCGGACAACTTCACGTCGAGCATTGTCGAAGAAGCTCGAGAGAAGCTGACTACTGTTTGCGGCGAGGTGGATCTCAGCATTAGGGTATCCGGATGGTGAGTGTCCCTTAAGGTAGTGGGGTCACCGGCGTTGGGCGGAGCGAGGTGGGGAGGGGAGGAGAGCGGCCGCACCACCTCAGCGTCAGTAGCCAGCAGCGCGGCAGTGTCTTCAGGTCTGCTGTTTACGTCTCCAGCTCACCCGTCCCTTCCAGAACATCCGGGATTCGCGGGTCGCGGGTGACCGGGTTCTTTAAGGTTGTGTCTGGCAGTGGTGCGCGTGGGGTGAGCGAGGGAAGGGGGACACGCCAGCTGAAAAGCAGAGGAACTGAACGCAGAGGTCTGTTCTAGCTTCTCCCTGTGGTTCACGATGTACCGTAAGCTCGGTCTGCTGCGGCGTAAGTTCAGCTTCCTTTGCCCGGATCCACCCCCCGGGATGTCGCCGCCGGTGTGGCCGGCTCTGAGAATTCTAAGACGGAAGCCGCAAACGAATGTTGAAAAAAACCACAGTGCCGCGATACTGAGGTAAGCCGGGGGCGGGCGACTGCAAAATGGAGGACATGATGATTGCCATGCTAAGAATGTGTAATAAGAGATACACAACGAGCAAATGACAAATAAGAGGATGTCTTTTTGTGGAAACTTGTTGGAATAAGCTCGCGACAGCGTGCACCGCCCAGTTTGCTCGGTGGGGATGGTGTTGGTTGTGGTGAAGTTAACGACAACTCTTAGAGGGCCGCCGTGAAGGCCGCATGTTATTGAGGCACGTTAGGCTTTTTGGTGAGCAATGATTCCAATTCCCAGCGGCGGTTCGCAGGACAGAAGGCTATTTACTGTACCTCACCACAGGTATCTGGGTTGGAGTGGTCACGCTACCGCGGCATCGCCACAGGTGGACGAGGAACCCTTGTGAGGAAGATGCGGTTAATGGGCCCGCGGCCAAATGTATCACTGTTGGGTGAGAGGAGGCGTGCAATAATTGAATGGAGACGGCCAAGCCTCGCTCGTGCCGGTGATGTCAGGCGCCGCCTGGAAGCCCCATTTTTTTTCTTTTTGCTCAGGTTCTTCTGCTTCTTGTCCTGTTCGTTTACCGAAACGGTGTGAGGCTCTTTTGCGATTCGTTCACGAAGGCAGTGGTACCACGGTTATTCACCTTGTGGGCTACCTACTGGGCGTTGGCCGGGCCTCTGGCTGACGAGAGTGCGAAAGGGCGCGAAAAGGCGAACACAGCCACATTCGATGCCGGAGCCCCGATGACTCGACAAGAACTATTGCCGGGCGACGTGATGGATTATTGATAGTTTGTGACTGGGTGAACTATAGTAGTGTATTGGGCCCTCGATGGCCTGAAGAAGAGGAGAAGATCCGCGGTTGCCAGTTGGTACCTTGCATGGGGCTTTGATGGGTTCGTGTCTTGGATGAGGACCGTTGGCTTCTTTGGTGAAGTTGGCGAGTGTCCATGCGAGAGGGATACCTAGATTCAGACGAAAAAGCATCCCGTCCAAACAAAACATCGGAGGGAACGGAGGGACAACTAACCGGACGGGGGCCCCATTCATTCGATTCACTAGAGTTGCTAGATGGTGACTTGGCGGTAAAGTGCGGTTGGAGGGGACTTTCGCTGCTGATGGCTGACAATGGAAGTACAATCATTGTACCTTATTCCATACCACCCACGATGAGTCCATCCATAAGGCAAGCACGGCAAGGTAAGGTGCCTTAGGTAAGTACTCCGTACCTCATGACCGGTGACGGTGGTGAATTATGAGTGGCCACACTCTGAGGAAGGTGTGGGCATCACTGGAAGCTTCGCCGGGGGACCAAGTGTGCAAGTCTGGGCAGAGGAGGGAGGCCACGCAATGGCTTTGGGGCCAAGTGACTGCCCAGCCTCCAAGACGTCGCTTTTGTCTGGCGACAGTTTGCTTGGCTTTCTTCATCACGCCGTCGGGCGAAATATAACTTGGATCCCTCTTTTACCCCCTCCTCTTCTTACCCCCGTCTGATTTTTTTCTCAAGAGTCTTTTCCATCAATCAACCTTGTACCTAATCAAAAACCTAAACGACTTGACTCTCTCTTTTGGCGCTTCACTGCTGCCTTCCTACACTGCGGATACGGATACATAACAGAAACCCTCCAAATTCTTATTTGATTAATTCAATCTTGGGTTGTCTCGCATTGCACTCTAAATAGGCCGCAATCCTCCTACCCAAACCTAGGCTGCCTGTTTTCCACGGGTACAACTCACCTTATTATTTGTGCACTGCACTGCACTGCACCACCACCGGAAGCTCTAGACCGGATCTCACCCGTATACCTACGGATAAGACGTCAAAAAAGCCATCACGTCATTGAACATCATTCACCATCTTCCCTCCCCGCCAACCAAAAGCATAGTTAACGCCACGCAAAAGTGAGCTGTTGGGTTCTTCCAAAGCACGGTTAAGAAATACAATAGTCGGACGAAGCTTCTCTCCAGACAGCTTCTCCTGCCATTTACATCTCGTCTTTTTCTTATTCACCACACCAGAACCCTGTCCACCAACGATACCACGAGAAGTTCGGCATACCTACTGAGATCCAACCTTTTCCTTACCTTCCACATCGAGGGTCGCGAACAATAAACTTCCTATCCAGCAACAACATCACAGTCATCAAAATGGCGGACTCCGTAGGCGATGTTCACATTCTACCCTTTCCCATCGACTCACTCGACAAGAGGTAAGCCTTCTCCTTCCTTCCTTCCTTCCCTCATTGCATGCCATTCGAAATGGATCTGCAAGACCCTGCATACATCAAAACACCCCCGGCGATGCCCTCCGGACGCTAACGTTAATTCCGCAGACAATTCTACTGCAGCTCCGGTCAAGTCTACAGAAACGGAGCATGCTATGAACGCGGCGCATGGTACTGGTGGGGACGCTGGGTCCTCGCCGCCGTCGTCGTCGGCATCGCACTTCTGATCCTCATCTTGTTAGGGTACTCCCCCAGTGCTATTTCCCGTCTTCTGGCACGAAATTCCATCATACTAGATCACAATGGCTAACCAACGTTTTCGTGATACAGCTGCATGAACTCTCGCCGTCGCAGAAAGCGCGGCGTCCAGCCCTTCTATGGCACTGGATGGATGAGCAACAACAATAAGCACAACCAGCAGGGCACCTACGCCTACAACCAGCCGTACAACGGTCAGCAGCAAGGATACGCGGGCTACCCCCAACCGGGCGGCGCCTACCAGAACCCGCCGCCGGCTTACGGACCCGCGCAGCAGCAACCTCAGTACACCGGCACCACATTCAACCCCAATGATGGATACTACGGCGGTCACAACGAGGGTATTCACCTGCAGCAGCCGCAAAACGCCTACCAGCGGGATTCATACGCTCCACCCGCTGGCCCGCCGCCCGGAAAGTAGACGGATGATGACGATGAAGAATGATGGGGTTTCCGAAGGCGTGGAAGGGTTCGAGGCGGAGAGGCGTGGAACTTCTTTGACTGTCATGAGTACGACGACTTGCGAACACACAAATGATACCTTGATTGCGAAACACCCCGGTTAGGCGTTGGCAGGTTTTCTTTGGATGGATTTCACGACGATAGGGGGCATGGTGGAGGAATGATAAGGGCCAGCCAATATGTATGATGACGTCGAGATTGGGGTTGAGCCTGGTCGGGACAAAGAATCGAGAAAACTCTGGATCATATTCCATAGTAAATTTCAACATGATCGATGCTGATATGGCAGTACTTAAGCTAGCGAGGGTGGTGATGATATGTTAACAGACTCTTCAACTTGACGGACCCAATCCTCAAGCCGTGTCAACGTAAGTCGGAACACAACGTCGAATATCGGTGCCCTTATCCACCACCATGACGCCGTGTTGCAAAGCCGAAAGTGCAATTCTGACAAGGAGAGAAAGGCCATTTCAAACATTTCGATCGGCCAACGCAAGGTCATTAGACTTGAGTATCGTACAGGTCAAGTTGCGAGCATAGCTCTTACATCAGACGAGCCCTGCGTTGGACTGGGCTGCAGCTGTGAATTCAATTACCCTTCTAGACGTCCAGACGGTCTTCTTCCGGGATGTGCGGGTGTTGGCGCCCCCGTGTCGGTCGGTGCCCATTGCCCAGAGCTTTTCCTAATGGAGCGGACTCCTTTGATTGACATAAACTACTTAGAGCAGTGAGTGATATTGAGATTATAGGCGATCGCAAGTGGTCTCTTGGGCCATGGCGGCGTCCGTTTCTGATTCCTACGAAACGCCTGAAAGAATTGGAGAGTAGTGATGGGCCTATCTAGGAAGATTCTCTAGTCATTTAGCTCGACCCTGACGTTCATCTCGTGGTGGTCAAATTGGGGGCCAAAAATTATTCTCGAAGCCAGAGACGATGGGATTTCTGAGACATGAAGGGGACTTGTCTACGAGATGCCCTGTCCACTGTCGAATTTGTAGTGTTCTGGTCAGGCCCGGGGCTTTGCCGCCGTCTCGGCCGAGTTGATGCAACTTTGCACATCGTATGGGTACTGGATGTGGCGAGTGATTGTGGCTGAGCGTAAAGTTGATGTGGCTGGAAATAACCATTGCCTTTTTACGTATTCCCGTCATAACCGAGCGCGAGGGAAGGCAGCAAGGGGTGCCCACTGTCACGGGGGTTGCGACCCAGACGCTTTGGCCAATGCCAAGTCGTAATGTGCTGTACGTGTGCCTGAGGACGAAAGAGACACCATGTTTCATCATGTTGACTCTGCATGCTGCTAACTGGCGGTCCCTCGGTCCCAGGTTGTCTCGTTTTCAATACGGAAGCACGGAGTACGGTTGGTGCAGTTGGGTGGTGGGCACGCGCGGCGGCGGCAGACCAGACACGCTGCAAGTCAATACTCGCTAACTACTACCTTATGTGCTTACCTTAGTTTAGTTAGTACCTTTACTTATCGGCCGGGGCCCGGGGGTGAGGGGACTTGGGGGACGGCTCATCGGCGCAATCAAGATTGTGGTCGACGAATCCAAAATCATCTCCGAACCGGCCCCTGAACTTCATGAGGGAAAAAAGCGGCACTTGCGCGATTACAAGGGGACTTGCCAGACAGCCGTTTTGGAGTTGAGGTGGAAGTGGACATGGGCGTTGGGTGTTGGCGTTGCAGACAAGCAGGCAGACAGAAAAGAGAATGCGAAGCCAAGCAGCAGCAGCGCAGCATTACAGTGATTAACTGAACAAGCCGCAGCAAAAAGCAAAGCAGAAGGGGGGGGACGGGAAGTCAGGAACCGCTTCCCCCACTCAAGTTCGTCTGAGCAGGGATCTTCAGTCCGCTAGAGTGTGGCATGGCGCTCGATCGCAATTCAAATTTCCCTCTGGAAATCTCCCTGTGCTCGGGCAGGTCGCGGCGTCCCGTCGCGCTCGCTCTCTCTTTTAGGTACACTCAGCTTAGTCTGTCGAGCAGTCAGGGAGAACGGAAAGGTGCTGATGTTTCTACCGCTGCTCCTTGACCTTTCCCACCAAACTCCAGTGACCACCTGGACTGCTGCCACTTTTGATCGTCCCCTCGTGGCTTTCCCGGCAAAGTAACTCTGTGTGCGTCACGTCAATCTTTTCCCGTTCCTTCTTCCTTTTCCCACACCTCGTTGCAAATCCTCCTCTCGTTTTGCTGCTCTTCTGACCTTTTGGTCAAGGGAAACAAATCCTCAGATCTTCTTCATCTCATCTACGGCGGCCTCTTGTCACTCTTTTTCTTGACAACCTCCCGAGGTGCATATTCCTCCGACAACCCGGCAGACTGCGTCCTGTGCCGTTTCGCTCCTTTCTCGTTCCATCTCATCTCCTTGGCCATTCCCGAGGCTGTTTGACGGTGCTCCTCGTGTCTCTCATTTTTACCTTTTGGTCGTTCTCTTCGCGAGGCAGAAGAGCAGAATTCCAGCTCAAAGTCACTCCTTAAGCAAGCCATACGAATACCGGTACTCCGCCTCGCCGCCACTCTGGGATTTATTTATCCTCAACACGTCTCACGAAAACGACCACCCCTCAGCTACAGCCTCTATTCTACCTGGGATAACCGTGTCTCTCGACAGCTTGTACACGAATTGCGACCCACCCCTTTTCTCAATACTCGCACCCAGCAGCGTCACCAAGCAATAAGACCAAGACACCCAATCTGTTGGCCACGGATCGCCTATTTTTCGGGGTCATCCTGTTGGACCTTGCCGTGCTTGCTGACTTGCACCGCCCAGTTTCAGTGCCATTTTGAGACGAAAGCCTCTGGGCTTTTTGCTCGTTTGTCGCTACCATTCGCTACACGTCCCCTACCACCCGTTCACCAGCCCACCCACGCAAGGGGGCGAACGCTTTGCCCTCCCATAGGCAGTGACGACAGAAGAAGACTTGCATTCATTTACCGGCAGTACAGCGGCACTACTCATTTCGGTTCTTACTCTTTGAGATTCTCGAGGCTCGACCTTCTTTCGTTCACGCCTACCACTTTCCTTTGCCATCTTGGCTTCAAGTGAGATCGTTTTGCGCGAATCCGGCCGCCCGTTACACTTGCCCTACGACGCTCTTTCGTACCACGAAGCGGTTCGCCTTATTCCCCCAACGGTCCGCCGATCACCGTTCAAGCCGATCAAACGACGAAACATCGAGCCCATGAGATGATGGAGCTATAGTCCGCTTCTAATTTCGAAAATCAATCACCCTCGACCAACCAAGCTCGACGTACCCAAATTTTGTGGGTAAACCACCGAGAATCACGTTCTTTGTTGGAGGAAAAGAAAAACAAAATCGTTCAAAATGCCTTCGATCGATGTCGCCATGGCGAGGAGTCTCCGGGGAGGAGTGTGGGGATCAATGGTGTCGAGCATGGCCGCGGACATACAGAGTCGCGGAATTACAGACACAGTACAGAGCGCCGGAAACTCGATCAATGATGTGAAGACGGCGCTGTCTAGTTGGGACAATTGCATGTCTGTTAATTTCTGCAAGTAGGTTTCGGTTATTGCCTCTCTTCAATTCCGACAAACTAACTTGCGCAGGTGGCCCGTCATTGGAATCATGATCTTTGGAGGCCTGATCATTTTCTCTATCGTATGGTGCATCATCCGATGCGCTTGCTGCGGTTTGTCGTGCTGCTGTCAGTGCTGCTATTGCCTGAAATGCTGTGGTAACTGTTGCGGTTGCTGCGACACCCCCAAGGGAACACCTCACAAGCACCTCGACGACAATTCGTATGGACCGAACAATCAGGGATATAAATCCCAGGCGCCCATGGCTCCCTTTTACAACAATGCCAGCACTGCGCCTGCGCACCAGGCGAATTCAACAGCACCCGTGGCTTCCGGAGCCGCAGCGCCGCCCCAGTATGCGGAATTCGAAGTCAGCAAATCAGGTGCCAATCCGGCAGACGCCGATTCACTCCCCGCGATGCCCAGCTGGGAGGGTGCAGGCTCGAAGAAGGTGGCTCTTGAGGAGGAGGTGGAGCTCGAGCAGATGAACAAGCCGGCGGCATCACCAAATCCGAATGGACAGAACATGCCTCTTATGGCACCCAACGCAATGTCCCACCCGAACAGCCCCATGCCGGGTGACAGGAGCCCTTATGGCCAAAATCCCCAGGCTGGTCCCAGCGGTTACTTCACCAACGCCAACCAGCCTGCGGGTCCCTACGAAATGGCAGGTAACGGCTACAGCGATGGAGCGTACGGACAGTCAGCGTCTTCTTTCGGCGTAGACCAAGGATATGGAAATGGGGCCATGGCTGCCGGAGGTATGGCGATGCAGGGCAGAGGTACACCTCACCAAGAGTTCAACAACAATGGCTACGGGCCCCAGAGAGGTCAGACGTACCCCCGTCCTCAGCAAGAGTTTGATCAGGGCTTCGGCAACAGCTACGAGCAGGGAGGCTATGGCATGGGCCGTCCTCCTCGAAATGGCCCCAGCCCGGCACCGATACCCCGAAGCTTCACAGCACCACCTCGCGATGGACCCAGTCCCGCCCCAGCTGGATATCGCCGCTCTCCTGGTCCTCAAGCCGGCGGTTACCGCGGCCCTCCACCCCCTCCCAGCGACTACCGGCGATCTCCCGCGCCTCAAAACGATTATGGCTTTGACCAGAAAAATCAGCAAGGCCAGTTCCTCAATGAGAACTACGGTCGTCCTCAGTACGGAGCAAACTCGCGTCAACCCTCTTCAGAATCGACTCGTCCTCTTGCTCCTCAGCGCAGCTACACTGGCGACCAAAGTATGGCATCTCCGGATCTGCATGACTCTGGCGGCTTTGACTTCAGCTCTGGCTACAGTCGTCCGCAACAATACAACTACAACCGCGGTCCGAGCGGTGGCAACCAACATATCGAGGACGAAGACGAACAGCGGCCCCCGCAAAGCAGTGGCGGCACCTACCCAGGATACAAGGCGTACCAGCCGACAAAGGATGGCTGGAGTGGCGTCTGAGCGAAATGACAACAATAACGACAGAAGGCAAAGAGCATATGCACACCTGCCCAAGAGCACCAACAGCTCCCTGCACTGGGGGCGACTTCTATTTAAAGACTAATGCAGTCAGAAGTTCATTCGAGGCGGCGTTACTTTGAGTTTCTGATAAAGGTGTGCCTTGTTTGGTTAATCCTTGCCTCGTACATGCAAAACTACTGGACGTTTGTTTGGAAACACCCAAAAAAGAGATGCGGTTTTTCGGGGGCCACTTGGAGTTTCGGGCATACAAAGAGCTACTGTTTTTTCAACTCATGACCGAGGAGTAAATCGGAGCTGTATAATGACCACGGTCAAATATTTTGTTTGGATGAATTTTCAGTTGTCGGACTTTTCATTTTTCATGTTTACAAGGCGTCGCATTGTTGGCGCGGCATTCTCAGATTCTCTGTTTGGCCCTTTCTTGAGCATCTTCTTCGAGTGGGAATGGCCAACCACATGGCAAGGTTCTTCTTACTTGGCAATGGACAAGCCGCGGGCTGGCGACGTACTTTGATGCCATGTCATCAGTTTCGGATGATTTAGAGTTTGGGGCTGTGTGTGGAGGAGATTACTCTGCCTGGAAATCGCAGTGTAAAGAATGGCAGGGGAGTGAGCGGCTGAGGGGACGAAGCTGAGTGTTGGGTGAATAGCACTGAATCAGCTGGCTTGAGGTAGTTCTGCTTGGCTGGAAGTCTGTCAACCGGGCTTCCCGCTGATGGCATGGTGGATGAAAACCAAAAATTTTCTGACATAAAGATCGATGAAATGCTATGTGATGTTCGTTGTAGCAAGGATCGTCTTGTACAGCAATCGCCATGCACATCCTGTATCGCCACGTCCTCGCCATACTTGATGCGTGTTGACCAAAAACTGGCACCATTGTGCACACTCTTTGTGAGGTGTCTAGGATTTTTTCAAATAGGATAAGGTGTGGTGATTGATGTGAGGTTAATAAGTATAACCAAAACCCCGAACATCACCCCACATCCTGAAAGGTTTTTTTTTTTCCTGTCCAAATCTGCTCGTTCATCATCCATCTACAGGTTTGAGAAGACAATCGAATTCGTAAGGTATGCAGATGCCAATTATGATAAACCAGGCTATGCGGAAAACTTTCAGCTCATTCGAGTCCGTTCATCTCTCTGGTTGCACCCTTCGTTTCTGACAGCGACAAGAACTCGTCAGGTCGGTACGGAGTAGAACCACTATCATCCAAACATGATTCACTCAACCAAGCAAAACTTGCGGCGCTTCTAGTATTAGTTCTTGAAGCGCTTATTCTTCATTCAAGCGCTTGTCCACCAACCCACTCCTGACAGAGTCAACTTTTTTTTCCTTAGCCCACTAACCCGGGGGCCGGCCCGGCCTGCATACAACCCCCCAGGCCTCGTTTCCCTCCCCGGTCATGTCATTCCGTAGCGCGGGTCTGAGTGGAAAAAGATTAGCGGCCCCCCCTTCTGCAGAAACGCCGCTTCACATTCCCAATTTGACAGCTGCAATTTGCAGACGTGCATATGCTGTTGGTTCCTTCTTACTCCAACTCCAACTTGTGCCCCTGCCTAGTTCGGTGTGCTCGTAAATGTTTGCCCTGGTATGTTTGCCTGGGGGGGTAGATGCCTGGGCCCTGGGATGAGGAGGGGTTCGGTCGGTTGGCCATTCTAGGGGGGGTAGACGGGCTTTTGAAGGATGCGGGTATGGAGGAAAGAGGAGTTGGTCTGGATTGGATTCGTGACACGATTGCTTCTCTCTTTTCCTTTAGCGAAAGATTCTGGGCGCTTTTTACCTCTGGACTTTATTGTAGCATATTTTCGTCTTACTATTTTGAGAAGAAGACGATTTTTTTGGCTCCCGACGTTCCTGTTCACATACACACACCCTTTCTTCCCTGCCCCTGTAGATGTCACACTCTTCAGAGCCTGATGGGGGAGAGATAGATCAGGGCAAGCAATACCAACTGTTTCTGAGCTTGAAAGGGAAGTTGATGGCGGATTATGGGATTGATCCGGATCGTGATTTTGGTCAGCCTTCGAGGGGGCGGCAGCAGCATTCTCACGATGGCGATGATGACAATGACGACGACGGCGGCGAGGACGAGGGATGTGGTCACGCCACTTGCGAACATGGACATTCTGAGGACGTCCCTGTGAGTTTTTGCCTTTCGTCTGTTGAGAATCTCACTCGCTTCAGCCTCATTCCCCCTTCCCCCCTGCCTGCTGGCCCATACCTTCTTCTGTCTCTCTCCTTAAGAAATAATCAACTGACCGTGCCCTGACTTTTCTCTGTTGAAGGGCCCGTCGTCATCTGGGCTGAGTTTGAGTGAATCCATACTGGAATACCGCATGGAGAATGGGAGGACGTATCATCGGTACAAAGACGGCAGTAAGTGGGAGGTCCCGGCGGTCCGGGTTCTGGATGGTGTTGGTGTTGTTTCTTACCGGTCTTGTTGCAGAATACACACTTCCAAACGATCAGGCTGAGCAGGAGAGGTTAGGTGAGTCTTCATGCTTCCTTCTACTGCCGGCATTTGGTTGGTGCTGCTACTGCCGCTGCTGCTGCCGCTGCAAGATACAGGCACAGCACTTCGGCTCGGCAGTTTCCTCCTACGTTCGAAGCAGCGTCCCCTCATCCCCCCGTCTGTCTGGACACTGACGAGAGGCTTCATTGCCAGACCTCCAGCACAACGTCTTCCTCCTCACGTTTGAAAATAGGCTCGGCCTCGCGCCGCCATGCCAGAAAGGGGCCGAAGTCCCGGGGAGGGTCCTCGACGTTGGGACGGGGACGGGGATATGGGCTATTGACTTTGGTGATGAGCATCCCGAAGCTGAGGTGTGTCTAAACCATGGAAACTCTTAAAAACATGTGGGGAGATCTGTTTACTGATGAAGATTGGTGAATGAAAAAGGTTCTTGGAATCGATCTTTCGCCTAATCAACCTACGTTGTGAGTTTAGAACCAACCCCCTTGATTCATCTCGACGTAGGGGCCTTACTGACACGCTTTTTTTTTAGCCTGCCGCCAAACGTCGATTTTGAAGTAGACGATATTGAAGAGGAATGGGTGTTTGACGAGCCGTTTGACTACATCCACAGTCGCCTCATGACCTCTAGCATCGCAGACTGGAAGGAGTATCTGAAGAATTGTTACGAGTTGAGTTCTTCCTCTAACATTCCCCCCCTCCCCCTCCCGGCTGTGTAAAACACACAGATTCCAGGCCACAAGCCCAGACCTACTTACACTCTCGCAACAGCAACCTCACACCAGGAGGTTACTTAGAACTCCAAGAAGTCGACGTAGGCCCCTCATGCGACGACGGCACCCTCGATCCCACGACTTCGGCTCTGGCACGATACTGTGCCCTGCTGCATGACGCCTCAGTGATGCTGGGCCGCCCCTACCAGGAGATCCCCAAGCTCGCCGACCTGATGCGTGATTCGCAGGTCGGATTCGTGGACGTCGAGGTCCGCGTGTTCAAGTGGCCAACCAACGGGTGGCCTGCCGCGGACACGGAGGAAGGGAGAAGGCTGAAAGAGCTCGGGGTGTGGAGCGGGGAGAATATCGTGGCTGGACTCCAGGGGTTTGCGATGGCGCCGTTTACGAGGGCGTTTGGGTGGTCTAAGGAGGATGTCGATGCGTTTTTGGTGGGTGTCAGGAATGAGATGAGGAATGAGAGCATTCATGCTTATGGGCTTGTGTGAGTGCATTCCTCGGAGGATCGTTTGGTTTTCGTTGTCTGCTTTTGGATGGGGGTTGTGTGTGGGAGTCTGCTAACGTTATTCATAGGTATTCCATTGTTGGAAAGAAGCCGTTGGAAGGAAGTCATTGGAGTAAGGATACCGAGGATCGATGATCTTCCGGACTACGTTAATAACAAAGAGAATGAGACACATAATTCCGGGGTAAATAGCTTCACAGTTTTGTGCAATAAATCAGACTGAACGGTGATGGCGCTAGAACCCGAGTAGCTCTCATCGACGTTCTCAATGGGATCCTGAGACCAGAAGAAGTTGATTTCGCCAGTATCGCCATCGACGACTAGTAGCTTCGTAATGTTACCGTTGCAGGACAGGACTTTCTATACAGGGCCCTGGTGCTTATACTAGCGGAATGATGGTATGGATAAAGAAAGACGTAGTTTTTGGGATGATCACGGATGGTATGATGAGTTTGGTCCCCTCTCGTACGAGTTCAAGGGAGAGAGTAACAAGAGGCTGTATTTTACCGAAGTCCACACATACTTATCAAGCCGGATACGTCCAGTGCTCTCGCTCACCTACCAGTCAATTAGCCCGGCGCGTTCTATGATACTCTAATACGGAATGAGAGATTTCGTGACGGACAAGGGAGTCTTTGACGAGATGATGTTACTTGGCTCAAGTAAAATGCCTTACTCGATCGTTCCATTTTCAGCTTCAATTCAGGATGTCGGTAACAGCCAACAGCAATGCATACCGCAATTCTCACGGTTGTCTCTTCTTCTGCTGTAGCTATGTGATTTGAGAGGCAGATAACTCTGCGCAGGTAAAGGAGAAAAGAATGATGCTTATGCTGCTAAGGTGCCTCCCTAGGTATTTATAAATGTGCTATAAAATCATGTAAAGTGGTCCGACTTGATTTCCTCGCTGTTCATTGCCAGTCCACTAATGCCATCAACAAGATTTTGCCCTTGATTGTCGTGCTGTACTGTGAATATGATGCAGAAAGTTGAATCCTCGAGTGGTCAAATCCCCTTCAACGCATCTCACGCAGGATTCTCCTCCTTCTTCGCCTCAAGCTCACCCTTCTCCGGTTTGCGACCAATAATGCAGTACCTGCCACACACGTTAGGATATCAACATATTAGCGGTGGGGCCCAAAAACAACGTACGCCGGCATATAAGCATGAATAGCCTTATTCCTAAGATCGTTCCGGACATCGACGAGGAAGACGTTGACCTCCTCGGGCGACCACTCGTACGCGCGCGTAAACGCCGCCATCGTGAAGGCCTCCATTCCAGTCGTGCCGTTCTCGAGCTGGATCCGGCCGAGCTGCTTGTATTTGGGGTCCTTGGGCCACTCGTTGAGCGGCCACTTGAAGGTGGTGATGGACACGTCGACGAAGCCGGCGGCCTTCAGGTCCAGGGACTTGGGGTCAATGTAGGGGCGGCCGAGCTTCTCCGAGGCGCCGTGGAGGAGCTTGCTCCATTGCGAGAGCGCGTGCTTCTCCGTGAGGGTGCCGTCGTCCGAGGTGACGAAGATGTCGAGCTCTTGCAGCTCGACCCAGCCACCTGGTTCGAGGTTCCTTTTTTGGGAGTGTTAGCTGTGACTTTTTAATGGCATGAAACGACATTTCTCTTAATTGCTGAGAGTAGCTTTCTTCAAAACTCACTTGTAAATCTTGCGGAGATAAATGTCCCAGTCGTTGACGGCGCCTGTCATGACTCTACTATGGATGTAGCTGAAAGGGCGAGACCATGTCCAGTCCTCCTCGAGGTCATCAATCTCGAATTTAAGGTTAGGAGGCACGCTGGTATAATCAGTAAACCGATGAATGACACATTCGGGCTTGAAAAAAACAACAAGTCTACGCATATACTCATAGAGAGATACCAAACGTACTATTCGGTCAGGGGCGGCGAGAGGTCGAATCCAATGACCTACAAGCAAACGCAGTTAGATGGGCACAGTTCAGTCGCCTATTTGTGGATTTGCCGAAAATGAAATTCTTCATGTTCTCCTTACCTCTGACTCAGGATGTTCATCTGCAAAGTCGATGGCCCAGCTACCGGTACCGGTACCGACGTCCAGGGCACGAGAACACGCGAACTTTGAGTCCCTCTGGGCGGGCGGGGCGACGCCGCAAGCGAAGTCGAGAGAAATCAGCCACAACTCATTCTCCAGCTCTGGAATTTCCCATGGTTAGCTGAGGACCAGCCAGTAAGAGCAATAGCATCAGAGAGGAAGTTACCAAGTCTATCCATCTCCCGCTCATCGTTGGGTTTTGTGTATTCTGTGTCATTGTCAGACGGTGCCTCAAGGCCAAGGGGGAATCGAATAGGGTAATGAGATAAGAGAAGGAAACTCACTGCCGTCTTTGTAACGGTGATATGTCCTACCATTCTCGAGGCGGTAATCGAGAACGGACTCGCGCAGACTTGTGCTGGACGAGGCAATCTGTTCGCGACATCAGCGATGCCAATCTTTCTCAGTACATGTATGTACGGTGGCGGCGTGGACGCGCGATGCTTACACTCTCAATCTCTGACTGGTTTTCATCTTCTGTATCGTCCCCCACAATCAACTCGTCAGGATACCTCTCAGTCGTCATCTTTGTTTGCTAAAGAAAATCCGGGGCAGATCTCGGGAATGGGGATGTTTGGTTGGTGTCAACCCTTGTTATGAGATTTGTTTGCTAGATCCCACGAGAGAGCAAACATGCGATGAGAAAGAGACACACACTCCAAGGAAAAAGAGGGGTTGGGCTGGTATTCGGTGATTTTTTTGTTATGGGCACGCCGCCGGATCGGTCAAAGGGCGGAGAAAAATCCCAAGATTTCGAACATGCCACTCATGTTCTGTACGGCACAGCCGTTAACCGCCCAGTCAACTTGTGGGACCCCATCGAAGAAGAACGAATGAGCAGGGGGGGGGGGGCATGAGATCCATGAACGGGGTTTATTTCGACAAGGAGTCTAGTTCTCCCATCCTGCAGATTTTCCCACTTTCCGTATCTGGTTTTTATCTATTGGCATGCGATATGTCCGGGGGAAGGTCACCCGTTGTGGAACTTGGACATGAGCCGTTTGTTCGCTCGCTTCTACAACGCGCAGACACGGTTGGTCACTTGTCGCTCTTATCCAAGACAGGGTCTGCAGACAAGGACGTTGGTCGATTGGTACCGGCTAATCGGCCTGTAGGAGTGAGCGATCGAAGTCTGCAAGACATCTTGAAGAATATGTGTTTTTGTGATAACGTACGACTCAGTCAGTCTCAACAGTCACGATTTGGGCTATTGGTCTTGAGCAGAGGCAATATGTTGGATATTTTGCGGCTTTTTTGAACGATAGGAACCGTTTCGCGACACCATTCATCCTTGGAAGTTATAAGGTAAAGAGGAGGAGCGGTTATCGTAAGGTGATATCTGTCCTTCTCTTCCAAATTTGCTACTGAAAGCAGTTGATCCTCGTTGGGTTCGGTGTATTACTAAACCACGATCGCCCGATGATAAAATCGGGACCCTCAAGCACGCAGACAACAATACAGGCTGTCTCAACGGATCGCTCATTCAGATCTGAGCGAGAGTAATCCCAGATTGAAGCTTGCAGGTCATAGGCCAAGTCACGGTTTACAGTTCCAGCTCGGAACCCACGACCAGCTGGCGGCTCTGCAAGTGTCGTTCGTGGACTTGTGTAATGAAAGACACCATGTCCCTGCAAGGATGTGCGAACCCGCGGCGGGACCATCCATCTCACTAAAGTAGTTACAAAGTTACATTGATTTTCGGGGCGAGAGCAACGTGTGTCAACTTTATATATACTGCCCATCTCATCCGTTCTGCCGCAAAATTCCTGCCGTAAAATGACTAACTTGGTCATTCCTCTCATTCAATGCCATTCGGCTCAGGAATGGGTTCCGCGACCAAGACGGTGCTCTCCTCCGGCCTCTCTTGCTCCTCTTCGGCCTTCTTGTCCCTCCTCTCGTAAAAGCCCTCAACGTCCTTGACCACCTGCCGCCCCGAAAAGTTCTTCATCAGCTTCTGCGACTCGCCCCGGATGCGGTGCTGGTACCAGTGCGGGAACGCCCGCAGCGCCGTCAGCACGTTGCCGTACGCGGGCAAGACGACATGGCCGCTCTCGCCCGTGAGCACCTGCCTGACGACGGCATCGGCAACAGTCTCGGGCTCCAGTGCCGGGAGGATGAACTCCACGCCCTGCTCGTAGCCGGTGAACAGCGGAGTCTTTGTGAAGCCCTGGTTGACCAGTACCGTGCGCACCCGCGGGGCGTTGTACCGAGTGGTGAGCTCTGCCGTGATGCCCTCGTGGAACGCCATGGCGGCGGCTTTGGACGCGCCGTAGTCGACCTGGAGAGAGTTAGTCATCTTCAATGGATCAACAAGCCAGATCAGTCTCGAGGGTTCATCTTACCATGTTGGGGACGCATAGGTAGCTTGCGTACGATGCGACTGTTACGATCATGCCGTGGTTCATCTTTGCCATGTGCGGGAGGAATTCCTTGGTCGTCCAGTAGTGTGCAAGCGTGTTGACGTCGAAGGTAAAGCGGATATCCCGCTCCGTCGAGTCGAGGACCGTCTTTCCACGCGCTACGCCGGCATTGTTGATAAGCACCGTCGGGTGGCCGACCTTTGCACGAATATCGTTGGCTACCGCTGCGAGTTTCTCAGTCGAAGTGATGTCGCACTTGAAATAGTGCACATTGGAAGCTGTCGGCGGATGTCAGACGATGAGTCACTCAAGATACGGGCATCACCACCGATTCCCCTAACGAGAGGAAGGGAGACTTACTAGCAGTGAAGGTCAAGTCCTGGATATCCAACACAACGACAGTAGCACCCTGCTCAGCCAATAGCCGTGCAACATGCCCGCCAATCCCACCAGCACCGCCCGTGACGAGAACAATCTCCCTGCGCCAGTCGTACCGGTCGTCGACCCAGTTGTTCAGGGCGCGCCGCGAGAGGCAGCTGCTCGCCCAGCGCGTCACGGCGCAGTATGCCAGTAACTTAATGCGCGAAAAGGCTGTGGGGTGGAGGATAGCGAGATCGCCTCCCTTTTTGGTGTATCGGGCGAGGAGCAGGAGCGGGAGGAGTACGGACGGGTTCAGGGTGGTCCTGGCGATGAGGCGGAAGATGGGGTCGGCTGTGAGGCCCTCGCGCGGGAGGAAGCCCTGGTGTAGAGGCATCGTCGATGTTGTGTCTTGTTACTGCGTTTCGCGATGGGATATGAGAGTATGCCTCGGCAGGCTTATGGATGTGCCTCAGGGGATCGGGCTTTCGTTTCTCGAAGATGTCGATGAAATCAGACGACAGGTCTTGAGGTAACTCTGAGATGGGCTTTTGCTAACGCCGGTGAGTCGAGGGTGTATTCGTCAACAAACCGCCTTGGTTGTGATGCAATGAAGCTCGAATTAGGGCCTGGGTTGTATCAGGTTTCCAAGACAGGAGGGATTGTCAAAAGAAAGACAATCTCAACATGACACCACCGCACAATTGGTATGCGAACCCTCTCATCCTTAAAGGGTGTTTCAATGACGAGAGGGGTTTCAACAGTCATAAGTAAAGAAAAAGGTGGCCGGGGTCAACCGTTGCACACCGGGTGACAGAGGCAGAATAGCTCCCAATTGGATTTGATGCTTGGCGGGAGTGAGGTGGGAAGGAAGCTACGACCATCCACGTTCCCGTCTCCCTTCCCCGTTCCATCATTGCTTGCCGCACTTCAGTCGTACAACCACACAATGTGCAGACGTCCTTTTCCAGATTGGAGATGCAACGCGCAGCCGAGGTCTAGTGCGGCCAGAAAGTGCGGGGAATCCGGGGGGCCGGTGTGGAAACGGCGCGGAAGTCTGGGGTGGCAGCCATGCAGAGCCCGTCTAGTGAGTATTGTGATAGGACAAGGGGCTGCTGAGAGACGTGAGTTGCGAGCTTACGATCGACATTTACTCGTGCCATAATTCCTCAGTGCCACTAAAAAAAAATCCGAGCCGAGTGGTGCGCGGGTAGTGTAGTTGGCCACATGCAAAGTTGTAAGCGTAACGGCTCCTCGCCTGGCCTGACGTGCGTATTGCCTTTTCCAGAAAGCAGTTCGTCGCGCGTGCGGCATGGGGCCACCGGATGGCTAGGACGCTCACCTCCTCCGGGTAGCCACCGACCCGGTGGGAGTGGGGAATCACCAAGGTCCCGGGAATGAGTTTCCTACTGCGTAATAGACCCGTTGCTAGCGATCGGCTGGTGTTTGCTTAGTTGTCTTTGAGTTCTACGCTGAGTTCTACAAGATGACAAGACTTTCGTGTATCCGTACTTTCGTTGGAGAGAATTAACCTTATGTTCAATTGGCTTCCCTCCATCTTCCAACTTCTAGAAGAGAATCAAATGTTCGGCCGTTTGAAATATCTGTGCGCAAGAGTAAGGTACCAAGGTTATATACACAGTACATTCATCGGTATCGGTTTCGGCACCATCCGACGGCCGACGGACAAGAACTATGAGTCCCGTCGGATGAGATTCGATTAAGAAATATGTACTAATACAGCTTCCGCGTCTGGGGGTATCATGAATGGGCACAAGTGTTACCAACGCTTCCTCACACACCAGCCAGCTCAGCCAAGGGGGAGCTGGCAAAAAGCTTCTTCCTCCGATCAGAGCATCAGCGCAGCACCGATGCTCACCAAACACAACCAATACGCCCCATCCCTCCATCTCAAGCTCGCACCCGCGCCGAGACCGTCACCGGGCGTTGCTTCGGGCTTCGTCCCGCCAAGCCCGTCGTCGCTGCCGCTTCCCGATTTAACTTCAATCGTGGTGGAGTCACCCGGCGCGAAGAGTACGCCGATCGAGTTGGCGGTCGTGGCGTTAAGCTGCTCGGCGGTGAGGAGTGGGTTGTTGAGGGCGTCGCATGATGGGCGGCCGTCCTTTTGCTCGATGCTGTTCGTGACGGAGATGGGCACGTCAAAGATTGTGTAGTGGTCTTCGCCGTTGAGGCGGAAGTTTTGGCGGATGGAGATCTTGGGAGGAATTGGTGTCAGTCCTGGCGATATCGGAATTACGTGAAGATCATGTGAAATGCCGGACTTACATTGTATGCACCGCGGTCGCTGCCGCTCGAGCTAGGCTGTCCGTTGCCGACGAGACAATCCGGCCATATCCAGTTTACGTGCTTTACAGTGCTGCCGGGCTCTTGGGTCATGATCTCCCCCAGACTGGCGTTGTTGGTGGTCGCCGTGCCGTTCGAGATGGTGAAGTTGCGGCCGGTGGTGTAGCTTGACAAAAACATGGTCACATTGAAGATCTTGGTCGGGCTATCCGAGGCATACGGCGGCAGCGGCATCTTGCCGTTCGTCGAGACGTCAATCGCAACATGGAGGTTATCTATAGTTGAACTACTGTTAACAATGTGTAGTCCGATGAAAGCCAAAACTCTCATGGTTTGTTTGCGAGACTTCATCTGAAGTATTTGGGGAAAAGATGTCTGACGGGCTACTAACCTCCGCCCAGCGGGGTCCCCGGCTGAGGCGCGTCCAAGATGACCAACCCAGGCGTGAAGATCTGGCCGTTGGCAATAGTGAAGTTCTGGGCCGTCCCGGAGGCCGCGAACAGGACCAGCACCGCGGCCGCGACGTACGAAGTTGAGGAGACCATGACGATGGAACAGGAATGAATGTAACGCTGCGGAAAGAGAAGACCGTGAAAAAAAAGGGCCGGAAAGCAGAACCGAGCAAGAAGAGAAACAGAAAAGATTAGCAGGAATGATGCGCCTGCGCGGGGCAGTTTGTTTAATTATTCAAAGTCCACGCGCCTGAAGCATCCAAGAGAGCGGAAACAGGGTTTCCTGGATCTCTCTAACAAAAGGTACGGGAAAAAGTGGAAACCGACGGCCCTTGAAAATTCGAGAAAAAAAGGATGATTTCGTTCGATGCGGGATGATGGATGGGGTGCTCGCGAGGGAAATGAGCATATGGGCCACACACACCTGGAGTAGATTGCCAGGGATGGGTGGGTGAGTGAACAAGATGAGAAGACGGGCGATCGAGGCAAAGAAAGGCAAACAGTCCAAATCCCAAGAGGATGGGGACGTCAACCGTTCTTGAAGCAGGAAGGATGAGGGGGCGAAAAAAGTCTTGAAGGCTTCATACTACGGATACAAGCTACGTCGTTAATGCAAAAGGTCCCTAAACCACCTCCTCTCGGTTCGATGACAGCGGCGATCCGACGCAAGAGACGGCAGAGAAACCTTGGCCCTTTGTGAGCCTTGCAGGTTCTGGGCCACTGTCATTCATGCCGTGTTTGTATCCCTACACAGAAAAGTATGTGTGTATACCTCTTCCCGGAAGTCGAGAACCGGGGCCAGGCGTTCCACCGCTCTACAATAACCTTACAACCTTACCACTATTATACCACCTGGCACCGTGGCACCATACGATACGCGATCTCCAACCAACCCTTCGGTTATGGCGTCTGTGCATGACGTGGGTTCGGATTCGCCAGGGGACTGGAACAGAGGAGCGAGTGTACACTAGACGATGAGGAGTGAGAATTGTGAGGAGTGAGGTGGTCAATAACGGCTGGGGATTAAGATGACCGACTTGCCCCCCCCCCCCCCCCGCGCGGGTGTGACGCCCTCTTGATGCATGGCAGGTTTCAGATTGAAGAAAGCGGGAATAACTAGCAGATAACCTGCAATAAAGCACTGAGAAACAGTCAACTGGCGAACAACCCGTTACCCATCGCATATTCCGCCAAGGGCCACTCTATGGTTGATGAAGGAGGGCCGCCCCCAACAGCGAAGGATAAAGGGACATGAACTTCCGTCAATGAGAAATGAGACGGCGAAGACGCACGAGCCAACGCCTAATTAAACTTGCAGCCAAACACCCTGCGCTGGCGCCGTGGGGTTTCCGGCTCCTTCGGTCCCTTCGGCACCGTCTTCCGTCGCCAAGGGACCTCCCACCTCAGGCCCTCTTGCATCTTGTGAACGTCTTTCCATTTTACGAATATGATGGGATTATTCTCGTCAAGAATTTGTACAGATACGTCTCACCAGGTTCACAGCAAGTGGTTGACAAAGATCACAATATTTGAGAAATTGTTTTATACAAATTCGACATCCATTAATGACACCATCCTGTGTTGTAGGTAAATCGGGGGCGAATTATCTGACATGAACAAATTTTTGAAAAAGCAAGCTTGTCTAGTTTTCTTGAAGAATACTTCTTTTGGTTCTTTTTGGTTCTTCCCAACGCCTCGCTGTCTTTTTGTGAAAACTTACAAGTATTCTCCCCAACCATGGATGGACTCACTCATCAGGTCCAGAGGATACAAGTGCCGTCAGCGCCGGCACTCACACACCAGGGCTCCGTAGGGTGCCAATCCACGTCCAGGACACCGAGCTTGTTGACAATCTTGTGGCCCTTGAGCATCTTCACCGGCACAATGGTCGGGTTCTCCATGAGATCGGTCACGACCTTGCCGTGGAAGATTTGCAGCGTGCCGTCGTCACTGGCGTCGGCGAACAGGGGGAAGCTGCGGTGGTACTTGACGGCACGGATGGCCTCCGAATGGAAGCGCATTGTCTTGTACGGGCGGTTGGAGAGGTCGAGATCGTGCCACAGGAGACGTCTGTCGTAAGATCCCACCACGATGTTGTCACCGCCAGAGTGCACGTCAAAGGACGAGATCCAGCGGGCGCCGGGCTGGATGACCTTGACGAGCTCCTGTCTTTGAAGGTCGTAGCAGCGGATCATGCGCTGGGTCGCGACGAAGAAGAGCGGCCGCGAGGGATGGAACTGCGCCGTCTGGGCGAGACCGGGCAGCTTGCGGAACGGAATCTGAGTCAGATGCTTCGAGAGGGTGTGAATGGCAACTGCGCTGCGCTGACCGTTGGGGGAGACGGTGCTCAGGAAGTCTCCGCGTCTGTGCCAGTTGATGACCTTGATGACGGACCTGACGGTAGCCTTGAGCAGGACGCCGGCAGCCTCCAGCTTAGAGCCAGGTCTGGCCCACTTGCCTGGGTGCTCCTTGGTGACTGCAGCTGCGGGCTGAGGGTTCTGTGTGGCGTAACCGAAACCAGCATCGATAATGTCACGGCTGGCCTTGTCGATGCCGTCCGCACCGCGGGGAGGAACCGCAAAGAAGAGGTCTTCACCTGCAGCAGCGGCTAGGATGAACGTCTCCTTGTTAGGACGCCAGC